ACTGGAGGTCAATTCAAAACGGGTTTGAATTGTTTTAATGCTACTTCAAGCCACTGTAATTAACTGCTATAAACATGCAAACACATATAAATACAACTGATAATTCTATCAATAAATCAAATAGTAATAAGACTTGTCGACTCAATAATACCGTACACTGATCAGTGATCACTAAATGGCGCTAACATAGATTCCATCTAATTAAGGAAGTTACAGAAAATTCTAATTGGAATTGCTAAAGGTATTCATTTCGCACCCCTCTATGCACTTCTCGTGTATTTAAATTGTCAGTTAATGGAAGCAATTTACATTTCCAAACAGCTATATGTGCTGTCTCTCTATGCGATTTTCATTAATATAACTAAGTTGATTGAGCATTCAATTGGCAAACAGATGTTGGCATATTCTAAAGCTTGCAAAATAAAGTCTCATTTAGCTAACTGATCAAAAGCCCAGCGACAAATCATTTTAATTGCACATGACATACATATGAATATCTATCTATCTATCTCTACATATACTGCAGCATATATAGAAAGAGCAGCCAAAAAATTTGTAGCCGCGCTAAGTGAAGCGTATAAATTGTTTCGGTAGCATAGAAATGGCACACCTTGATTACTTTTTTTTTTTTTTATTGCCAAATCAATGAAACTTTTAATTTCAAATAAACTGAGACCATATATGTGAATGGATATAATAAAAAGTCAAAAAGTTGAAAGCCACAAAAAAGCCAGGCGAAATTAGCGTAATTAGTAGAAATCTATCGAAACTTGTGTATTTATGTTTAATTTACCTGAGAAATATAGAGGATATATAAAAGTTCAAACAGAACTTTTTTCGATATACATCTTGTAGAAACTTACCAAATAGTGCTCGGCGTTCCAGAGCAAACCGAATATCGTTTAAATGGTGATCTTTTAGGAGAATCATTTGTGCCAATCATAGAGTTCGTACGAAATATGCCCGCCATAATGATAATACTTAAATTGATTTGGCATTAAAACTGCAGACTTTTTGGTTTAATTAGGTATAGTTCACTCCAGTTCATTTAATATACTGAACGAAACGATTTGAAACAAAAAAAAAAAAATATATATATATATATACATATAAGAATCCTGACTTTGATTTTATTTAAAGTCAAACGAATGCGTCATCCCTTTTGTTGTGTTGTTGTTGTTGGTGTTGTGCTTATCCTAAATAGCTTTGCGGCCCACCGAATCTAAATAAAAGCAACTTCAGTGCAGGTATAAGTACTCTATACCACAAACACATATACATATATCCATATATGTGTGTATGTCTGTGTGCGTCGTGCGCCTTCTATGAGTCATTGGCAGCTAAGGCAGCCAGCCAAGGCGCTTGCATTGCTCAGGCAAATGTTCCCAAATTGATGTTACGCAGCATCGCCGCACATCACAGGAGATGTTTTATGCTTTATCTGAGCAGCATAGATACATATATCAGCTTCACGTTTTGGCTTTTCTTATACGTATATTTCGGCTGCATTTGTAGCTATCACTTCTCGCAGTTTCTAAACGCAATTTGCAATTTACAGACCCGGCGACACATGTGGGCCACACATTTTCACATTTTTCACAATTTCACGTGCGTGTCTCCTCTATGAATTATTTTGGGAAATGAGCAAAAACACAAATACCAAAACTTATGAGCTGATGTACAATTTATTGGCCACTATTTGTTGGCCATTGTTGTTGTTAGGCTTTGTTTTGACCCGCCTGGCTATTTTGGCCATAGCTATGGTTACAACCAGCTGGGCCAATCAAATGGGGTGTATACACAATTATTAAGGATTGCGCGCACGGCAAGGTCCACCAACAGGTGTACTACAGTGTGTGGCCACACATGTCCAAACATGTCTACACATGTTGAGTTCCTTAATATTCGATTCACAATGGTCAATTGCAGAATGGAAAAGAGTTTTACACTCCATTTCAATAAGGACAGAAATTTAAAACACAATTCCTTTAGTAGAGAGTGCTCGACTATGAAATACCCTTACACCAACAATGTGCTACACCCTTTACACATAAACATAAAAACAGAGGAGTATGCATCCATTTAAAACTTACTCAACTTTGCCAAAACTGGACTTTCTTTCCCTTAATCTCGACATGATTGGGCCTGTTACTTTTAAAGTTAATAAATTATCAAAACAGACAAAACAATGGCAAATTTGTTTACTTTTGAATGGCTCGAAATAATTCCTATTGTACAAAAATTTAGAATCAATAAGTAATGTGACTTAATGAAATTAATAAATACGTTTTTTCCAAAAACTCTTTAAGGAGCTGCTCAAAACACAATAAATTTGACTTGTAAAACTTTATAATATATATAGTTTTTATAACTATGTCAAGGTAGAAATTTCGGAAGAGGTATACTTAGTATACTTTTATGTTTTGTTTTCTAACAAGGTATACATATATCTAAATAGTGAATATACATATACATCTATTTTTATGGTTTCATCAACTTTCCAGAACAACCATTTATATAATACTGCAGATGTTTTCCTGCTATAGATTTTCCTCTCGCCCACATGCCAACTGTAGTACCATACTTAACGAGCGTCTACTGTAGTTGTAACAGCTGTTGCACATGCCAGCATATGTGTCCTGTATGTTTCTATCTAGCTGACTACCTGAACTAAGTTAATTGCAGTCGAAATAATTGTCTATATATAAATGGTCATTGAGAATAATTAAGATCAATTGGCGCCAAAAAGTACGACGACGAAAATGCATTCTAAATGTAGTTTTCCTCTCACACCGTTTTCCTCAATCTAGAGCGTTAGACAAGATACTTGATTGCTTCTGCTTGACCATATTTGAATTGTTGAACTCATTTGTGAAAAATATATCATACACTGCAAAAAAAAAGGCGGAGGGGTAGTCGGGCAAGCATGGAAATAATATATGAAAGGATAAAACGTATAGAAAACTAGCATTCATAAAACAAACTGTACCAAACAAACATCCGAATTTGTGGTGGTGCAAAGGGAAAGCTGCGGGTCTTGTAACAATGCAGTGCAGGGTTTTTAGGGGGTTCACAACAAAGGTCAAAGGCAGCTAGTAGAAACGTGTGTACATAAGCCAAGGAACTTGCCACTTGAATACCGAGTTCATATATCCGCTTTAAGAGGACTTTAACAAACGTCTTATACAGTCTATATATCTGTCTTATATTAGAAGACTTTTTGTCTGTTTTCATTTACTCGATTAATCGAGCACAATAATACGCAGATACATATATATATTATACATGTATATAGATATAGATATGTATGTACAAAGATGTGTTATATTTTTCCATAACTAAATTTAGATGCAGCCGCAACAGCAGCAACAACAACAACGACAAAGGAAATCAACAACAAGATGAGGCGCGCGTAGCCGTAATTTATGCACGTACACACACACACACACATGCACTCTCATGCACGGACACACACACACTCATAATACACATATGAGCATGTAGATACGTTGTTTAATTTATATAAGAATATTGTATTTTATAGGAGAGCATTCATCAACGGCTTTTATCTACATAAAACACAGAATGATTAAAAAAAAAAACACAAATAGCTATCTTATGCTCACTTTTGCTGTTGCATATTTGCACACACACGCGCATATATTTGAATATGTATATATGTATATATACAGGGTCTTTATTTACTTAACCGCGCGCCGAGTAGCGTTATTGTATATGTATGTTAATATTTATTTGTGTATACGTCTGTACATATGTTTGTATATATTGCGCAAAAAGAAAGACTGATAGGCGTTAAACGAAGAAGCACAATCACAACAAACGAACAAAAATACAATTGAAATATACTAGATTGATGTTCGCTTCATATATTGTACATATAGTATGTCTAATTGAACCGAATGCCAGAATATTACTGAAAATGCGCATCGCGATAACGAGAGAAAAACCCCACCACAGTGGGCACCAGCAGCATCATCCGCCGTCCATCCCATAGGAGAGTTCGTTTGCTCTGCAAGGAAAACGCGCTCAGCTCGAGCGCACGACAGATGTTGCGCTCGTGTTTTCCGTACGTAGCGTGCGCTCTTTTTCTCACCCACCACATATGGCAAATGCCTGTGTGTTGGATTTCGCTCTCGCGCACAAATGGGGTGGGTTATGTACACACACGCACACATGCACATCTATGCTCATCACTTACTCACTAGCGAGTGAGGGAGAACCTGCCACTGAGCGGCACCAATGCTCATGATCTTTGATCATACAGTTCTGTCCACTTAGTACTCAGATGCGGATGGCTGAGCATTGGCATTAGTAGAAATATACATGCTTATGCTGTGTGTGCTTCAATTTTTCATTTTAATGAATCCAAATTTAGTTTTGGATCAAAGCCAAAATGTGCGTTGCACTTGCAATGTTGCACTGCCAAACTAAACTTCAAAGGCGCAGTTACCTACAACACACACACCAACGCACATAAATATGTATGTATGTAGGTACACTGCATGCGGCTTGCACAATAAGAACAAATCAAATTAGTACTCACTCATCTGTGCTTATGCGTTTGGACAGAGCCTCTGCCAAGTTTTTCAAAATCCCCGGATCGACTTCGCCAGCGCCGTTCTCCTCCAGAAAACTTGTCACGGTTTCTATTAAGGAGATTTCCTTTAAGGACGACGTACACATTGCATCACTGTCACAAATCTCTCGAGTTGTTTGCTTCGAATAGTCCTGATCCATTTTCCTTAGTATGGACTAATATACGTAAACTATTTATTAAAACTTTACTTTTATACTGTATTACTCAAATGTTATTCTAAACAATTATAAAAATTTAGCGCGCTCCTCAGATGTTTTTGGCGTCTATAATTTCAAGTCTTATCGATAATCACGATAGCAACCTTACAGCTGTGCTGCCAGATATGAGAATTTAACTCAGTGGCAAGCTCGGCGTTGCACGTATTTCTTCTAATAAGAAGAAGAAACATATATAGACTGCAAATTTAAATAGATTTACATTTCTTTGATAAGCCTAAACCCAAAGCATACCTTAATTGGAGCAATGATATAAAAAAGCGACCGCAACGCTGTTGTGCCGCAACGCGCAATTCATTTCACACCAAAGACCGTTTCATCGAATCTTAGCCGTGCAATAGGTAAAGGGCAGGCAAGCATATAAAAATGTTTGCTACGCTAAAAAACAAAATTAAGGAGGAAACTGGCGAAGATGTGTCCACGTCGGCAAGCCAGTCACACCAGCGGCACAATAATAACAATATTAATAATTATCGCATACGCAGCCGTCGTGTGAGCATCAATTCGAACGTAGCTGACGACACGGGCGGAGCCTACAACGAGGTGAGCAAACAGAATTTATATATGTATATATATACTTTTAAAAAAAAAATTGAAAAAATAAACAACTGTTTATATTCAGTCGGAACAGTTGTGCCAGCTACGCAGCCAATGCAATGAGCTATCCTCTAGGGTGGCTTGCCTCACCCAAAGCTTGCAACAGCTTCAGGAGGAGAAGACGCGAGTGGATAAGACGAATGAAATTTTATTGGAAACCGTGCGAGTAGCCCAAACCCAAAAAGACCTTTATTGCGAGGAACAGGAAAAGATACAAACACTGCAACAAATCGAAATTGATAAGCTGAAAAGCTTACTCGGCTTTCGCGAACAGGAAGCCGTCGATCATATGAATGCCGTACGCCAATATCAACAACAAATCGAGAACTTTAATCAGGAGCTGGAACGTTTGCGCAATATAGAACCCATTGCTGAGGATCTGCGCGATGAGTTGGAGCAGCTGCGACATGCCACACAGCAGGAGAAGAGTCTATTGACCACAACACTCGCTGCCGTGCAGGAGGACAATCGTAATATGAAAATGCGTATGAAAATTGTGGAGGAGCTTCGTTTGGATGCACTGCCTCATTTAAGCACAGAACAACAAGTGCAGGCACTTGTACAGGAGCACAAACTATTGGAGCAGCATCTTGAGGAAGCACACTTGCAGCTATCAGACATCAAGAGTTCATGGAGTGGCCAAAATTTTGCGCTCGAGAAGCAAGTGAGTCGCCTCTCCCAACAGGTGGCCGAGGAAACGACCGAAAAGAGAAAAGCCTTAAAGGCAAGAGACGAGGCCATAGAAAATTTTAAACAAGTTTCATTTGAGCTCGAGAAAGCCAAAATTGAGATCAAACAAAGAGACGACAAGGTACGTCGCATCAATTTGTGAAGGGAGCTCGAGAGCTCTTTATATGAATAACTTTTATCTGCATTGTAGATTAAATTGTTGGAGGACGAGCTTGATGAGCTGAATGTTGCTCTGAAGGAATGTCGCGAAGAGAACGAACAGCAAATTCTATTCGAACGCAACAAATCTGTGAGTATCCTTTCTTCAGAAGCTGGCGATTAGCAGTGGCACCAATAACACACATATACACAAATCCAAAAACACACACATACCTATACCTAGTTAAATGGCATGACTAATTGTATAACTAACCAAAAATGAAAAACCTAGCACGTATATTAACAATTTACCTCTGTTTTGCATTTTCTAATTTAACAAAGTTTTGTAATATAATCTAATCCTATTATCTATTAAATTGCTTTAATGTTTTACCAAAGAGAATCACCTTTTCTTATTTAACAATTTTCTATTAAATTGCTTTTATGTTAAAAAAAAAAAAAAAATGAAAGAGAAAAGACCCACCCTATCTTACTTTAAATAAATTAAACTTGAAAACCTAGGAAACGCTAGCAGCTGAAGCTAAAGATTTGAAAATTCGCCTTACAACCGCTGACGAAAGATTTAGTGAATATGTGAAAAATGCCGAGCAAATTGCGCAAAAGTTGCGTACTCAAGTTATGGAGAAGCAAGAAATTCTGGGTGAGACGCAAATGAAATTGGAAGTAGAGCGGGAGGAGAAATTGACTGCGCTTCTACGAAATGCGGAGATTTCGCAGAGCGAAGAGTTGCTGAAGAAGGAGTTGCGGATGGAGCAAACGGAGTCCAATGAACTGCATGACAAGAATAAGCAACTCGAGCACGATCTGCAAGAGGCAAAACAGGCATTGCATTTACTCAAGGATGCAGCGGAGCAAAGTGCTAGTGATCAGGCTAAATATGAGTTGAGCCAGCGTGAAATTGCAGAGAAGAATAAGGTAGGGATCTGTTTGAAGTTTTAATGTTTATTTTATTTTATTTATTGATTTTCCTGCGTTTCTCTGCAGATAATAAAGACATTAAATCAACGTTTGGGGGATCTCAAGAAGACGCTGCAAAAGGAGTTTCGCAGCTCGCAAATGGCAACCATCGATGTGGATACGGATCAAGTAACACCCGCCTTTAGAGTGACCAATGCTCCCATTGAGAACTTTCAATCAGACAACAAGCCCAATTGCATTATAATGGACGAAGTAAATTTTAAGTATTTAAAACATGTCATTGTCAAATTTTTGACTAGCAGAGAGGTATTTACATTTAAATTCAACTATGAGAAATATTAAATTAACAAGTCTTTTTTTTATAGGTCGAGGCACGTCATCTGGTGAGGGCAGTTTCCACTTTGTTGCAGCTTTCCCCGGAGGAGGAAAAACTTTTGCACGATACGCTTAATTGGAAAATGAGTTGGTTTGGCGTGAAACCGAGCTAAACCTTATCACAGCTCAGTGATAAATGCATTCAATTAAATGTGCAATAATTGAGTACATACATATGTACATATTTTCATACAATTCATACATTCCTACATACATATATACACATATATGTATATTAGTTTTTTTATTAGGGGCATTTATACTATGTACATAATACACTGCATTACATTGTGATTGAATATTATTTTCTGTTAATCTCTGATTTACTAATACCAAAATTATACACATATTGTTAAATATTTATAAACTGCTTATTTTTTCTTTTTCAATACTTTTTTGTATACATATAATTTAATAATGCTTTTTTTAGTCTGATTTTTTAAGTGAATTATTTATACATATTTCCAGTGTATACTTATCATACTTATATACATTCATATAGAACTGTTTGTGATGCACTGTCAATAAAAACTATACCAAATGCAATATATATGAATTATATTTCATAAAATATTTAAATTGAGTTATTGTCACACAATTAACCGCGTAAAGCTATTATCGATATCTTGTTATCGTTTGTAAATGTCAAAATAAAAGCTTTTTCGTTTACTTAGTATTTGTAGTGTTTTAGTATTTTCGTATTCACATCATCACAGTCACACTGTGTCTATTGACAATGCCGCTTGGAAACGCTGGCCGAATTGCTGTTTGCTGGTTTGTAATATAAGTGTAGTAAATGAAACACCTTGATTTAAATTAAAATTGCGTGTACATTAGGGCATTTTTAACCGTTGGTGGTGTTTACGCCTTTGTCTTGTCTAAAAGATCAGTCGAAGACCGAAGGATTGAGAACTTACGTGTGAGAGAGCGCATGAGAAAGGCAAACCACGGTGAATACGATCACACTATTTCCGTCAGGCGTTTTGACTAGAAACCAAAAGTAAAATTGTAAAAAAAAAATTGCCAACAGAAAATACATAATCAATTCATAAAAATAAGTTAAACAACATGGCAGCTATGCCCCAAATAAGCGTGGCCGACCAGGCAAAATTGCAGCTGATGCAAGAAATGGAGATAGAGATGATGTCGGATTTATATAACCGCATGACAAATGCTTGCCACAAAAAGTGCATTCCGCCTCGTTACGGGGAATCGGAATTAGGTAAACTTTTATTTTTATTGAGTTTTATTGATGAAGCAAAATAACTATGACTATAAATTATAACTTTTCCTACAGGCAAAGGCGAAATGGTCTGCATCGATAGATGTGTTGCGAAGTATTTGGACATACACGAAAAGATTGGCAAGAAGCTGACCGCCATGTCCATGCAGGACGAGGAGCTGATCAAGAAAATGTCTAGTTAAATTTACAGTTTCTAGGTTTTTGGTCATATTGACCCACCTGTACATTTTGTGTAGCTGTTGTCCAGCTGCCAAACCAAAGCGCATTTCAATTGTTACGTTTTACACTTACACACACACACACACACCCAATTTCACACAGACAGACACGAATAAACGGTACGCAACAGATTTATATATTTTGATTGATCATCTTAAAATGTTGTTACGAATCGAGACATTTCGGGCAACATAACGCTTAAATCTTCAATGGTATTCTCCAGTGCGCTCTCATCGGTACTATCCAATTGGCTGGTTCTTGCACTGTTGGCCCAATCCGATGATGTATCATTGTCCTGTTCCTGCTGTGCCTGTGCGTCGCTGTTGCCACTAAAAATGTTGCCAGTGGCAGTTTCTGGGTAGTCATCTACAGACTCCACATAAATGTTCATTAAATTCTGTAAATGTGAGAAGTCTTTAACAAGCAGTGATGAATGGCTTATCTGGACTTACTTTAGCCAACACCTGCATCTCGGGCTTGGTGCTAATGGGATTCATGGATAAATTCAGCATGCGCACGTTTTTCAGCTGTTCCAGGTCGGCACGACTTGGCATTTCCTCAATGAGATTGTTGTTGAGAAAAACGAATCTCAGTTTGGGCATGACAATCAACATCCGTGGCAGCCGTTTCAAACGATTTTTCCTCAAATTCAAATGCACCAGATTTTGCATCATTCCAAATGCATTTGGCACTTGCACTATATCATTGTTCTCGGCAGTAAACCAACGTAACTCCGACAGCTTGCCCAGTTCATCGGGCAGTTTGCACAAACGATTTCCACGCACTCCCAACGTTTCCAGGTGCTCGCAATTCGATAGTTCAACTGGCAGCGCACGGAGACCCGTATTGTTGCACCAGAAGGTCTCCAAGGCCGTAAGTTGCCCCACCTCCGCGGGCAGGCTAACAATATTATTGCAGCTAACATTCAGGAATTTCAATCGAACCAGTTGGCAAACGCAAGCGGGAAACTCATCGAGCTTATTGTAGTCCAGCGCCAGGACCTGCAACCGCATTAAGTTGGCTAGACTGGAGGGTACCTGGACATTAAATAGATCTATATAAAATATCCACATATGTATAATTCGTTCACTCTACCACCTTGGTCAGCTTATTCTGATTGAGAAAGAGTTTCATCAGCGTTTCACAGTGCTCAATTATCTCGGGCAATTCGTCCATTTGGTAATGGGACAGATTTAGCGTGAAACCCTTCTTTTGTATCACATCCTCGCAGTTGGCTAATATATAATTGCTCCGAAAGAAATGGCAAACTGCCTCCATTACCTGTCTATACACGAATTGGCGTATCTATTTTGCACTTGAAATAATTATATTTAACAAGTCTGTGACAGATTCACGATTTAAAACGAATATTTTCCAAATATATACAGATTTTTCACAGCATCAGAGTCAACTAAACAAATAAGCACATACATACATACATAGATATGTATATCTGTGTAAGTTATATAGACACATACATATGCCCTCGTATAGACTATATACTGTAGAAACCTTCTGGCCTGGTTCTGGGTTTCTAAATTTAACTATTTCGCTGCTCGCCAAATCAAAATAATGCATATTCGGTTGGGATGAAAATTAAATACTCTTATTTAATTAGACTGAGAAAAACCAATTATTATCAAATTTCTTATACCTGAATCTGCATTTTAATTATTTTAATTCAAAATCTAGAATAATAATTGAAATTTAGATATCAATCCACTCGATACTCTTCTCCCCAAATACCAAGAGGCTCTGAGAAATAACTAATAAATAAATGGATCAATTAGCAAGCCAACATGTGATATAATATAATAGGAAATCTGAGAAAAACATGTCGAATTTATATTAATATATTTCAACAAAAAAATTAAATACTTTGAATATATATAAAATTTCTTCTAGGCTCAAAATTGCCACTCTAGCTAAACGATTATTTTTTGTTACATTGAAGTAGATTTTTTTCGCTGATCTACATTTAAAGATGGACATGGTTTCATTCTATCCGATAATTAAATTTACATATATATGTACTTTACACTATAACAGTGACGATTAATTTTAATTTATTCGATTTAAGATTTATTTCGTACTACAGTAATTACTGCCTCTTCAGTCCTTCCCTCCTGTCTTAGCCGGAATACTAAAAAATAAATGATACGAATATAAATATTATAAGTAAATATATTAAATATAATATAAATCACTTACGCGCTGTGGACCACGTCCATTGGGACTTCCGGAGGTGATGACATTGCCATCTCTATCAACGCTTACTGTGCGTCCGTCGGGACGCTTCCAAATGGAGACGTTGTCGTTCCAGATGCCGGCCTGATCATCGCGTGCCACAAAGTTTTCGCCCTGGACACGTGCGCGTCTATGGCGGGAGTGGGCCACAGTGCGTCCATCATGGCCATTGGCAACGAAGCCTCCATCTCCATAGCTCACTGAACGCCCATCCGGACGACTCACGTGCACGGTCTCGGGACTACGACGGCCGCGCTGTACGACAAAAGTACCGGATCCAGAGCTGTAGTCAACGGTGCGATCGGGACGTCCGACATGGAAATCACGACGACTGCGACTAATTATGAGTGGGCCATCTCTGCTGCTGCTGACAACACGATCCGGACGACTAATCACCACATGTCGTGGGGGCCGATAAGCATTTGTAGGAAGGGTCGAGGGATCAGGTCCACGACGAGCCACCAGATTCGGGCCAGATATTATGTTTGTGGCTGTAAAGCGAGGTGTGTAACTACAATGTGGAGAATGGCAGCTGATTGCTATTCACCTGGCCTGCCTGCTCCATTCTTGTTATGCACATACGTATTGCCGTCCTCATCCGTGTAACTGTGTGATCCCCCGGAGCTAGGGGAGTTCTGGAATGTGCCGGGCACTCCTGGCACCTGATAGGGGCCTTCATTCTGACCACGTATATACACCTGCTGGCCTGGTGGGCCGAACACATGTGGAGCATTGCGTCCATCGTAGGTCACTTGTGCGCTAATTACTAAAGCCAAGACAATATGTAAATATTATTATGGAGTTGAATTTTGTGTTGATTAGCTTAATCAATTTACCTGCACACAGCAAGAGAGCACAGCTCAATCCAAGTATTCCTTGTGAACCCATTGCACTGCCGATTACAATCGAATGCCATCAACATTGAGCTTCCACACTATTTATATACATTCTCAATCGGCAGAAAATTTCCCCAGCGACAACGACCACGACGACATTCGATTTGATAAGCAAGCGAATCTAGCTTGGGAAATTCAGAAGCTCTACCTATCTATATTTTGATAGGTGTACATATATAAGGCATTTGATCTCTATATGCTAAAACTGACATAGCCCAACTAAACTGATAGATCTGTCAGCCTAACGCGAATTTATCTCGCAAATCATAGAAAACTGACAAAAGCATATGGTATATGCAATAAGTAAATATACGTACATAGGTATATGAATATATAATAAATACATATATAGTAAATGTTATTAGTATATATTGCTTGTTTTCATTAGCTTTAGTTCTGATTACAAACAATTATGAATCGGGCATTACCCAGCGAACAAGTTTCAATAATCTGTCTTAGATCAAGCTCGTTTCAATGCACCCATATATGCATATATGTATGTGTATAGGTACGTATTCGTGAACATATGTATGTATATAAATATAGCTTTTAATAAAATACAAATCATGCTCGTTAAATCAACTCTAAGTACTCGAACAACCTTCAGTTAGTGGGGAACAAGTTTTACAATCAGCTTCGACATACATCTCTTCTTAGAGATGATTTCCTAGATAACTAACTATATTTATTTAATGAGCACTGCAAACTGGTTGTAAACCATTCCGCGATGCATGTGGGACTCCCTGTGATGAGCTGAACGAATAGAGTCTAACTCGAAAATACTCTATACTAAATCAAGTATATGGCGTATAACATATTTCTCACCTCTTCTCAGTTATAAATATAATTGCATTTTCTGATAAATACCTCACTACTTTTCACTTCAATATTGACATACCCTATAAAGAATTGCCAATACTTACAGGGTATACATAATCAATTATTGCTTAGCTTTTAGACTTACACACATAGTTTTTGAAAATATATTAAGTTTGATTTAATTGTGGGCATGTGTCTTTGTAAACAGTTATTCAACTTAAAATTAAATGGAATTACTTCTTTTTTTTTTTTGTTTTTTGTATCATTTACATAAAAATAACATATTAAAAACTTGCACTCTTGCTGGCCGGTCGGAACGTTTGTACTGGCATAGATCTATTTTTCTCTCTCTCTTTCTCTTCGCCTCTTTAATCCTCCGGCACTTTCCATTGTAATTGCTTGCCACGATCATATAAATTTTTCAATGCGATCGTAAATTTCTTTTCTGCCTGCAGCTTTAAATAATGTTTGTAGAGCTGAAGGGTTGTGCGAGCATCCTCGATGGAGTCATGTGTTTCCGATTGTATCTTAGTGCCTATACCAAATTGAAAGTTTATTTAACGATATACATAATGTTATACAAATATAGTATTACTTACCCAAAAAGTGCCAGGCTAAGAAACGCAAAGAAACCATGCGATGGTGCGGCAGATGAAACAGATGTACAGTGTCAATAATTTGGTCGGATGGTACATAGATGTTGATGACTCTGAAAAATTCAATATGTTAGGCCAAATGTATATGTATTCCCATATGTCTAAACTATACCTGAAATCATTCTTTAGGCCATGGCCAACAAATATGACGCCTACATCGACAAGAAACTTTAGTTTCTGATACGAATACTTTAAGGCAGTCAAACGCTTATTGCTGAAATTGGCATCCAAATCGCCGGGCTTAATGCCCGAAAACTGTGTTAGGTAATCAACGACCTTCTCCTGTGTTGATATATAATCGTCAATAAAGGGCACGCCCTCGTCGCGACCTTGACTGTAAGATAGAACAGATTATTAAATTAACAATTTAGTATATTATAAATATATAGACTTGCCCTCGAATACAGGAGATGCGCGCGACGCTCATGTGACAAGGTTTAATTGTTGCTGTCTTGCCATCCGGACGTATTTCATTTTCTTCCGGATTCAGTGTTACAAACTCCGCATCCATGGCAATTAAATCGCCAGCCTTTGGCATCTCATCCGGTTGCAAGGGTCGTAAAGTGGCATCGGTGGCGAGATTGTTGGGCAACGGATTCAAAATTTCCTAAAAACCAAAATTATATTCAATCAATGTCTATTTCATAAAATATAAATCATTTCAGCTTACATGCAAGAATGGATTGGCTGGACTATTGATTGAATCGTTGCTTTTCGTTGGGTTTGGTTCTTCTGCACTTGGTGTTGCTTCTGCTTCGTCTTCTAGACTGCGATAGAAAAGCACGCATGGCACCTTCCAATCCAATGTGAACCACACGGATTCTTGTGGAGCAACAGGTGAAATGCTAAAGTCATTGAATATATACCACTGCTGTTGAGTTTCATCCACGTCTGAGGTGGCTGCCTTCATTGAATGATACTTGGGTCGCACATTAATCAACGAAACCAAGTTCTTCTGGGTGCCATCGTCCACCTGGCAGACAACTGCGTGCAGTGCATACATCTTTTGTATCTTGTTCTCCTGTTGCTGTTGTTGCTGCTGCGTTTGTTGTTGTTGCTGTTGCTGCTCCTCATCCTCTGACTCCTGTTCCGCTTTGGAGGCGTGCGTGGGCGAGAGCACGTTCAGCTCGCCCGTCTCACTAATGCCCATGTTAAAGGCCAAGGGAAACCAGGACTTTTGACGCGCACTCGGTGAGCTGTTGACATTGGCCGTTTGATTGGTGTGCGATGGGGACTTCCTATCAGGATGCATGAAATGACAATCACTGCGAGAGCAGTTGACACCATAGCGACAAGGTTTACTGGTGCTCAAAGAAGTTGCCTCGGTAACAGGTCGCTCACTCGCGCGATTTAATTGGCGTTTCAGGAAACTAATATCCTTTTCATTATTCAGGCCGCAGTTAATCGCCAGTATTTGCGGCAATGATGTTACCTAAATGATATACAAATGAGTTGAATTGAATTTGAAATGAATTGTGTAAGTTACCTTAACGCTCTGATTGGTCGGCGAAAACTTTTTGCAATTCTCACAAAATGCTTGAATATTTTTCTCTGAGCCCAATGAGCGTTTCAAAATATTGCCAAAATCAAAATACTGCTCATTGTCCTTCAGGTGCGTGGGATATGATAAATTGCAGGCCAATAGTATGTTCTCTTTTGATTTCTAAAAAAAAAAAGGATAGTATATTATAAAAGAGGGCACAAGGCGAGGGAAATGCCTTCTCTTACCTCTGCCTGACATTTGATACATCTGTTTATACATATTTGTTTGGTGCCAAATATTTTACTTATATCCGTTTCAGCATTAATTTTACAACGTTCCCTTTCCTCCTCCTTCGTATTGTCGTCTGTAGAAAATACATAATTGAATATATATTATTTTGCAGAACATGTTTAATAAAAAAATGCCTACCAGCAATTGTTTCAAACGCTTCTGACGACGAGTTGCTATCTGTACACATACTTTCAGCTAAAACATGTATAGATAATATATTAAAAATTTAAATATACTACAAATAAATCTACCGAATAATGTATTTTGTGGTCCATTTATACCAGAGTTCTTGCCTGAATCGAGAATTTCATAATGCATTTGATGTAATATAAAACGATTCCAGTTCTATAAAATACAAATATGTAAAATACACATTAAATATATTATTTACACATAGACAATACATATATTACTTGCCTGAATTAGGGTAATCAGATTCACATTTGATGATCGATCAGACAAAATCAAGCCCAAGGCGGATGCTTCAGGCACTGTGCGAAATGAGCGCAAGAAGTTGCTCGCTTGGCAGGGGGTTGAAGCTATAAATAAGTTTTTTGCGTACATCATCTAATAGCCGTATACATGTATGCGTACAAAAAACCAACCAGTGCTTTTGTCCAGCATGTGAAAGAGGAAGCCCAGTTCACAGGATAAGCAGAACTCCTTCGAGCAGGTGTGATTCATAAGCTTTATGCGCAAAGGTTCCGTGAAGTAGAGGATCTATATGTGAACAAAGAGAAAATATTTATTAAGATATCAAATTTAAGTTGTATAATTTAATTTCTAACCTGCAGCATGGCATTGCAATAAGAGTTGGGCAAGGTGGCTTCTAGTCCGGCAAAACAAGTCTGATTATGTTGCTCGAAATCAAAGTCCTGTGTGCCTAACTTCGTATATTTCAATTCCACTTTGCGATAACGCCTCGGTATGATCTTTACGCCGCTTTCCGCCTTCGTAGCTGCCGTGTTGCCATTCACATTCGGAATGCCTCCACCGCCTTGGCCTTGTTCAATCAGGCAATAGGGTATTTGATTACGTCGAGCAGTTCTTGGATTAGGCGAATAGCCAATCGGTCCCTGCATCTTCATATTATTTAGCACATCTGCATCAATGGCCTTTGGACGATGATAGTTATAGCGCAAGAGCTCCTCCGGCCAGTCGGAGAACCAACGTGTGCCCGTAGTCAGATGCGGCAATAAAACCGAGGACAACGGAAAATTAGTATCCGCAAAGGGAACCATCGGCAACTGCGGCACAACGTCCGCGAATTCTGTGTTTCTGGAAAACGCATTAAATTGCGGCTGTGGCGTCTGTATGGAGGTTATTGTATTAATATGCCCCGATTGATCGCCAAATGCCATCGCTTGCGATGAAGAGCTAATGTCAAAGCTCAAACATTGGCTACCATTCGTATTGATTTGATACATAGAAACGCGCGGCTCGCTCAGTTCCACAGTATCGACCAGCTGGAATTGACCATAACTCGATACAACGGCCAGACGAGATGTCAGCGAAGGCAAGAACTTTAGCATTTGTGGATCGATTAGCACTTGAATGGGGGAGATCAATCGCAGCATACGCAGATCGTAAACCATTAAGAAACGGTCAATTGCCAAATTGTTTTGCCTTCCACTATAGCCACACGATATAAGATAATTGCCCTGCACATCGAAATCGGAGAGGCTATTCGTATGCGTTTTAATTGTATGCTCCACACTTAGGGTATTCAAATCCCTTAGAGTGACTGTGCCAAACTGATCGCCTGCAAAGAGATAGCGAGAATTCTTGCGAAGCACCGTGCAGCCAGCAGATCCTACGTGCTCCAGGCGCGTCTCCTTCAAGGTTCGCATGTCAAAGTCGATGAGTTCCTCCTGCAGACCAGCCATGACCAATCGATGTGGCGACAACTGCAGCATGCACACCATTTCAACCATATTATTGGATCTGTTCAAAATAAAAATTTGACATGAATATAAGACATAAATATTAGAAACATAAAGAAATCAGAAACATATAAAAATGATTTACTTGTGCGTAAACTTTGGTAATCCCCGGCGTATCTGATGGCGCAGCGATGTCTGTGTTAATACCAAAACTCCCGAATCAATCGTAATGATTTGACGAACTATATCGCTGGCATGCACCTGGAATGATGTGTATTTCTGCAAGGAGCTAGTATAGTACGACGTCACATGACCCTGTGAATGAAGATTTCATATTTGTATTACAAAGTAGATTGTTAGCTAAGTTAATGGATGCCTCACGCCTTGGTTGCCCATCCATAAAAGTTCTTCGTAGTCATCGAAGGCCACAGTAGAGACGCCGAAGTTTTCACCGCCGTCAGCAAGAATTGGAATTGGGCTAGCGACATAATCAGCATCGCCGGAGCCAATATTAAATCCATTAAAACTGGGTGAATAAGGATCCGCAGTACGCGCGGGACCAGTATCATAAACACCTAAATATATAGATATAAGTTATCATAAATATATATGTTTGTATATAGGTATCTAAATAAAAATGGAGAAAGTTTTAAAAAATACACAACACATATACATTTATATATATGTGGTTGACGTACTTAAAATGTCTTCTGTCGCGCCGATTTGGTCGGCGCCGCCGCAATAAACGTAATCCATTTTAGAAACCAATAACACTCTTTATATACTGTTTATGCTTATTATTTATATTTAAGAAGTTTTATTTGCATCAATTGTTGTATGCTCACGAATCGTCATCGTATTGTATCCAAATTGTATCGATATTTTGTAGGAAAATAATATTAAATGAATGCCAAATAAATTATCGATATATACGAATTTTTAACCATAAATTTAATATTGAGCAAATTGAATGCATTTTTTAATAATAAAAAAAAAATACTTATGTTATTCACAAAAATAGAATAATTAACTTCATTTTGTTGAATCCTAGTATTCGATGTTCTTAATGTAAATGTCAAATCATCGATTCAATGTTGCAGCCCTGGAACCCAAATAATAATGTTTCGTGCCACATGCAGATTTGCTGTAAGCTTAACTAGAGATCAGTTGAGAAAAAGTTTGAAAATGGCTGATTTACAAAAAATTGTTGAAAACAATCAACGTGCCCAAGGTCTGATTGACTCAATACAGCAAGAGGTAATATTAAGAGGAGCAAGTGTACGAATAAGTTAATTTCAACCCATTACAGATGGTGGCTATAGAAAATGAACTCGTCCAGCGTAAAAAAGAGGAGCTCATTAAGGAGAACGCATTTTTAACGAAGGAAATTGAAAAAGCTTTGGCACAACTCGTTGCTCTGGAAATTAGCAATGGCAAAAAACAAATACCGGTGCCAGGTAACCGAGGAATGTGCACCCAAACCGAAGCAACCTCAACAGCCGCTGCCCCAACAACAAAGGAATCGAAAGATCCAGCTCCAGTTTCTGCTCCTAAAGAGAAAAAAGTAAAGGAAAAGAAACCTCCAGCTGAAAAGGCAAAAGCCGTTGCCGAAGCTCCTGTTGATGTTGGCCGTCTGGATTTGCGTGTGGGCAAAATTATTGAGGTTGGTCGTCATCCTGATGCAGACAGTCTGTATTTGGAGAAGATTGACTGCGGCGAACCGGCACCGCGAACTGTTGTCTCTGGACTTGTAAAATATGTGCCACTAGAAGAAATGCAAAATCGTTTGGTCGTTGTTCTCTGTAATTTGAAGCCCGCCAAGATGCGTGGTGTTACCTCTGAGGCAATGGTGATGTGTGCTTCTACGCCTGACAAAGTTGAAGTGCTAAGCCCACCTGCTGGAGCCGTACCTGGTGATCTGGTCCATTGCGAGGGCTACGAACGCAAACCTGATACCCAACTCAATCCGAAGAAAAAAGTATTTGAGACGTGTGCGCCTGATCTCATGACCAATGCGGACTTGGTGGCCTGCTATAAAGGAGCCCCACTTCATGTGCCAGGCAAAGGAACCATTGTAGCACAATCTTTGAAAAATGTTCAAGTCAAATAATTTTTTATTGTGAATAAATAGAACGAAGCTGAGCATTCGATTTAATGATATTCTTGAATATAGTAGAATTTAATAAGAATTGAAACATTTCCATTTAACTTCCCAATTTATTTGCACTAGGAATCAATAATATAACGATGCTTACAAGAGTTCCAAAGTTTACAAGAATAATAAAGAACTATGCAGTTTTCTTTACATTTCATCTATTTACAATATAATGGAAATCAGTATGAGCTTAGCTGTTAGTTTTCAGCGTTAACAAAAAATGACATAAATTAGTTTCGTCAAATTTTATAGAAGATTTGGCATTGACTATTGTTGATGGGGCCGCTGTCCTGGAGGCACCGCGACAGGGCTTGGATTCCTATTTGCTTCGACCACAATGGTCTTTGTTATTACGTCATAGGCTGTGCGATTGTTCTTAAAAAAGACCATGACCACGCAAATGGGAAACAATAGGGTCATTACCAAGTTCTTGGCAAAGGCCCGCATTAAAGCTCGAAAGAAGCTTGGAGTCTCAGCGGGATAGACTAGGGCACGCAATGGCTCTCGCTGTGCTTGGAATACAAATTGTGGCATTACTGGCGCCTGCATTGGTACTACAGCTTCCACATAGAGGATACGAATCTTCATCAACGATTTGCCAGGTGTAGCTCCATTATAGAAAACCGTCCATAGGCATTCATAGCAACAGACGAGAAGCTTTGTCAACAACTCAATTAGTATCAAGTCCGACGATAGGGTAATAAAGTCCATAGAAATATCTAGGAAATTCAAGAAGATATCTTCATCCTCTAGAGTCTTGCGCATCACATCCTTATCAAAGTCCAGATCAAAGACATGAAACAGCGAAAAGGTTACAATAATTTTCAGTATGAATAATATGACGACATCAATTGCCTCCGCAACGGCGCGTTTCCAAAAGGGCGCCACAACCAGTTCTGTTCCACCCAGTCGCTGTATTATATCCTGCTGCTGCGCATCGTCCAACAAACGAAACCGATTGAAGGTTGGTCGAACAGCTGCTGCGGCAGCTGCTGGTGGCTGAGGCGCAGGCTGCTGAGGCAGCGGCTGCGTCAATGGAATCTGCTGTTGACGATTTGGGTACTGCTGCTCAATGCCTGGCGCTCCGAATGGCAATGGCGTTTGCAATAATTGTGGATAGTTATAGTTGGCCATCAGATAATTAGGAAACATTTGCATGAGTGCCGCCTGTTTGGCCCACTCGGCCAGACTGGCAAAGTATGCCTCCTTTGTTGACATCTCGCTGTTAATGCCCGTCGATTTGCGCTCCCGCAGCTCTTTATTTCCAGATGCCTCTTCGGCGTTCTCCATGTCACTTGCAGTCAATTTTCCAATACTTCAAATTTGCAAAACTTATTTACATATATTTGGTTTTTAGTTTTGTTGTTGCAGTTGACGTGTAAAAACAATAGACGGCGGGGTGTGAAAGGCCAAGGGTATTTATATTGTTGCAGGGTTGCATTGAAATACCCAGTGGGACGAAAACCAGTGCTACAACTCCTACTTTTCACTATGAAAATGTTAGTGCTTCAGCAGAAACTACAATTTCACGGTAAAAGTAATGTATATATAATATATTTATTAAAATAATCTCAAAATTACCTTATTCCTGTCGAAACTATTCTCGCAAGCAAACTTAAAACATACAACAAAATAAGGCTGTGAAATTTGTACTGCCTCGTAAACAGTATTATTTTTCTGGCAATTTATTTATAAAACGATTAAAATTTGAAATTTGGTTCAGTATTCATAAGCTGATGCGAGCTTAAGTTTATTCCAATTCACAATACGCATAAAATTCAATTAGTTTATTATTATATATTTAATGAATATTTATTAAAATTGTATCCACTTATTAAATAGAAGTACATACGTATTTCACACTGCGGATTCTCAATTAGGTATTGAAAGACACATATACATATGCCGTTCGCTCTCAGGATAAAATATAACTTACAAGTACGCTTGCCAAAAGCCACAAAAATCTCTTTTACTTTCCTCAGTATTGTTGGAACGTACATACGTATGGCTGGATGAATATAGTATAGCATACAGATATCTTATGTTTCAATTGCTGTATTCGTCTTATGTTATCGTTAGTTACATAAATATGTACGATATTTTATGTGGATGTACAAATGGGCCCATATTACAATTGCAAATAATTCGAACGTATATGTCTATATATACACATATATATAAGTATGTATGTATATGCAGTTCAAGTCGCTGACAACATCTTATAAACAAATAAACAGGAAGGTGGCAGAACAGAAAAAAAACCATAATACAAAATTCTTCTATTAATACAACGGAAGTTTCGACGATGACAACGTAGGCAAGTAGGTACAAAAAGTTATATATTAACAATTTATAACTTATATTCAGCATATGTGAACGTTCTTCAATAAAGGAATGCAGCAGAAGAGTCTCTCTTCCCCTCATTTATTGCCAAACATTACCAATATTTAAATTCCCAAATTGCTGATTTAAGTTGGACGTCACAGACGTGGCCGTAGTGCCCGTTGCAGCCGGATAACCCGTGGAAGGCAAACCGCTCGACAGCGGCTGCATCAGATTCATGCCAATGCCAAGCTGCGGCTGCTGCTGCAGCTGTGGTTGTAATTGTGGTGTGGCCTGCACCGCTGGCCCAGCATTACCAAACAGTTGCATGCCACTAAGCAAACTCTGATTGGTTTGCATCAGATTGTTTGCTGATTGTTGGTTGCTACCCACCATATATGAGCTAGCAGTGGTCGCATTTGGAAATGGGCCACCGCCAAAGGCGACATTGCCAACTAGATTCATCGCCCCACCGGTGGGTGCATTGCTGAATGCGTTTGGTGCGGCCATAACGGGTGCATTATACATGCTCACTGAGTTGGGAGGTGTCATAAACTGATGATGATGCGTTTGCTGCGGTACCTGCTGCTGCTGGTGGTGAGGGTGCATGTAACCGCCCGGTGCCATGCCCGTGAAATTACCGAAGCTCAGTTGTGGATTATGTGTGGTTGGCGCATTGCCATATAAGGCCAATATGCTATCCTTGGACATCTTGCCCGACTGATCCTTGTCGCCAGCACTGAGTGTGCCTTGACTGAAGAAGTCTTGCTCCTGTTGAGCCAACGAATTGGGCTGACTGGTGGGCATGGTTAGCGAGACGTCGCCACAAATTCCATTCCCATTGCCATTCGTTTTCTCCGGTGTCACATTACTGCTACTGGCACTCAAGAAGCTCGTGAAACTATCATTCTGCAGATCCTGTACAGCGCTCGCTGCTATTGGCTTCGTGGGCGAGGAGAGTCCCAACAGATCACTTTCGGCAGCACCACTACTTATGCTATTGGTGTTTTGCGCACGATGCGAAGTCTTTGGACTGCAGCCGCCCACCTGATTGGGCTTTGGTTTGGGCAGCGGCGCTGGCAGCGGTGTGCTTTTCGTCGCTGTCGCAGCCGCAATGCGTTTGTCGCTGTTGCTCGATATATTGCTAATGCCCAATCCGGTTTGCCCTGCTTTCTTTTTGCGCTTTTGCCTTTCCAGTTCTTCGTCGATCTCCTTGGCCCAATCGACTTTGGGCGGCGAGGGTGGCACCCATTCTCTTGCCAAATACTTTTTATGTTCATACTTCGCCCGTATGAAATTCTCCAGAGCCGTATCTGTTTGTGGACGTCTAAAGCCATCCGGCAGCTGCGCTTCGTAAACAGCTCGAGCACGCGAATTGCCCATCAATTGCAACGATATAACTTGCTCCGGCGTCCAGGCATCCAGATTGACGCTTTTCACACGTGATATGTGGACGCCCAGATTCCGATGGATGCCAGCGCATCGAATACACAGAAACACGCCCAGATTCCACGATGCCCAGCGGGGACCTGCAATAAATAATTATTTATTATTATTGCACACAAAGAACTAAAAACAATAGTTCGCGAGAATTGGTTTTATGCTTATCTAAAAACCACACTTATGATGCTAAAAATATTCATGTGGAGCTATAGCTGAGTGGTAATATTATCAGCAACAGCGAGAGCTCAAGAGAGTGTACAGACAACACTTCAGATATGATTAGTCGCTCCACAAACAGTGTATCTCATATATTATCAGCTACAACTACCAATATCACTTATTCGTTACAGTGAAAGCTCCACTGAGTGGACATATATGCTTTTTACATATTTGCCTATTCAACATTTGCCTAACCCAGTTAACCCTAGACCACTAATCAAATAAAGCTTGCCATTAAAGGGCTATCATTTATGTAGCGATTTCACTGTACTGCTAATTTGTCCATGACCCTATCAAAGCAGGGGGAGGAGTACACTTAAAACATTCGCATTGCGTGCAGCGCCATTAACAAAATGAAAATGATGTACGTAATCTTAGCTAAGTGTGAGTTAGAGTCCTCAACAATGGATCCTGAGTAATACTAAAGAGCATAAATATGAATATGTACATATGTTTACATACAACTCGAATCTTTTCTTGTGTGTATGTGCATATATAAGTACATATGTATGTACACTATGGATGAGTGTGAGTTTATCTTACTGCAGTGTTAGCTTACCCTTGGCATCACAATCCACACAATATTTATTGTCATCATCCCGCAGCATTTGGGTTAATAGGGTTTGGCATTTTTCCTGTATCAATTTCGTGCGCTCCGTTTCCTTACGGCTTGCATTTGACGTGCTCATTTTCTTGCACTTGTCGTTGCTGGATGCGCTGCACTAAATATCTGTAATGTCTGTGTTAATAATATGTTAAGCAATGAGTGTGTTGTGTGCTTGCTTCTTTAAGTTATTAGCCGCTGTTTACTGTTTTTCGCATAGATGTAAATGAATTTTTTAATGGTTTAAGAATACTACAATTTTTGCTATCGAAAATAGTGTACGTCTGCGTCTGTACGTCACACTCATTTCGAAAGTCTGGCAATAATAATGTCAAAATGCGAAATGCAAAGCAGTGCTGCCAGATATTCAAATGGCAAGCCACCTTTTTCAAAACGAAAAAAAAAAAAAACAAACCTTTGTTGTGCGTTCCTTTATTTGCATGTGCAACAAGTGAAGATTATCTGAATTAATTAAATAATGCAACCATTAAAAGAGCAATTGGATGCATGCCTGCATATGCTAGATTGTAGTAGAACTACTAATAGGGCGGACAAAAACTGGTTAAATGTAAGTATTTGTATTTACCGGCCGCTTGCACTTGATTGCATTGTTTTTTTTTGTTTTTTTTTTTTTTCAGGAATTTTGCGCAAAATTTTTAACGTTTGCAAGTGATTTGCAAATTTATATAAATAAACGATTGGAACTGGAGGCAGTGGAAATTATTTGTCTATGCCTAACGCAAATTCTGATATGTGTTAGACAATTGGAGTGTACAATTCAAACGGAGGAGGCGAGTGGCTTAAGGATTCACGTAAGTCCTAATTCGATAAGTCTTATACAAATTATAAGATTTCTTTTGTTTTAGGCTAGTCATTTACAATTCACTGATCGCATCACAGTTTGCCTTAATCGGCTACGCATTTGCCTGCTGTCCAGTGCTAATGGAGCTACCCAAGATAACGCCACAGAAGGTGTTTCCTTTGTTAAGCTCCTGGATTCATTGCTTGATTTGTTAACAGATTTCACAAGCGAACATGTAGATAAAAGCTCCATTGATGTGAAGCTCTTGAGTAAACAAGTCAAGTGTCAAGTGGATTTGCTGTTAGGTCAAACGTTGTCCTTTGCCAATGTGGCCTTGCAACAGGATAAAAGAGCACTAAGTGCGCTTTGTCAAAGGGTATTCGATTATATATGTAAAGTATCACTTAAATGATATATAGTAATTTGTATGTTACTCTCTTAGGTCATGCGCGATTGCAGCGCCTTTCAAGAGGACTGTCTTCTAGCCAACAACTATTCGAATCAAAAACTGAGAGCCTTAACCTTGGAGCAGGCGCTTTGTCAACTCGAAGAGTATCTAAACGAGGCTCTCCTACGTTTGGTCTACACTTGCTTTTTGGACTTTCAAAAAATATCGGTAGATAAAATACGCAATTTATTGAGAAATTCGAAGACGGAAGCGTTAGCTGATGAATGTATAGCCGATTTCGATGTCAATTTGGATCGTGCAACACAGATTGGCATTTATGCAATAGCATTTGCGCCCAATTTGAAAGGTATTTGAATTGGATTGAGCCTAGTGTTAATGTTTGTGATAGATTACTGTAGTATATTCCATAAATCCATATCCCCTCTTGAATTCATTTTAGTTAAAACCATCGTTCGCAGCTGTTTGGCTTCCTTTGAATATTTGGATACCAGTTTAATACCCTCGCTGCAGTCGAATGCATCTGATTTACATTCCGAGCTATTGGAGCAGCATTTTAAGGAGGAAATGTCCAGATTTAAGCAAGCTCTGCAAGAGATTATAAATAGCCGCGCATTTGTCGCTTGTTATCTGCAAATACTAACGAATGCGCTCAATTCAATCGAGAAACAATTCGATAAGACGCAACTGGAGGATCTGTTGCAAATGGGTTTCTCAATACTTGAACACTTTCAGCTAGATGCCAATCGAAAGGTGGTGCTGCAGCCAGGACAAGAGCAGCTGCAAAATTTTGTGAAAATTCTGCGCGAATGTAAAGCGATTCTAATGTGCGCCGCCCAAGTAGAGCCCGAGCGCATTATAAAGAGATTTAAGATATTACGCAACATTCTGCGTAAGCTACACACGAACATCGTCGACGAACAGAGTAAACCAACGGGATTTAGAGATAAAGTAGAGCTGACTGTGGAGCCAGGCGAAGAAGAAACTGGCAGTCTGCAAGGTCTAACAGCCTCTCCATCACGCAGCATACTTTACAATACTCAGAAGCAACGGAGTAGAGCGAATAGCAGTAAGCTAGAAGAAGCTCAGATGGAGCGAATGCAATCTGACTATCTTAAGCAGAAGGCGCAGAACTGTATGCGAAGAAGTAAGTTTTTGAGAGGGATATGATAGTTGTAGAAAGCAATATGAGTTGATACATTGATGCCTTTCAAAATTGTTATGTATATGTCTGCAAGAGCATATAATAATTGGTATTGCAAATCATATTAATTTATTATACTATATTCTACTAGATCATTAAATATATATGATTTTCTGTTGCAGAAGAGAGCCTACGCACTACGATGTTTAAGCGACAAAATGTATTTGTAAGCGCTAAGCTGCAGACAACCAACGAGAGTCAATCGGCCAGCTTAGAAATTAGTGGTAAAGCAATAAAATGATTTATGAATGTAAAAAATTAATTACTTAACTTTCCCACAGAAATTCTCAACCAACTTACATGCCTCACGTCCAGCTTCAGCATGAGCCTGCAGGCGAAGTAAAGAGATTTATTTCGAGCATCGTAAATTCATTCGTCTACCGCATTCGTATTTTTAGTTCGTATTCATTCGTATTCGTACTCGCATTCGTAGTGTTAGTACGCAGTGTTTGTTATTTTGCTCAGCTTCCAGAGCATTAAAAAACTTCAATTATTATCAATTATTATTTATAATATTCCAAAAAATCTCGTCCAATGGAAATTGTTTTATTAAAACAACAAGAGAAAGCGTAAAATTGTATTATGCTAAGAGTTCAAATATCGATTTATCCAAGCAAAAGCCAGTTGAACTTGTAGATACATAAAGAGACATAGATTTATTATTTATAGCCTATAAATCGAGGAGCAATGCAAACGAAGGATATTTCAAGAGATGATATAATTAGTTATCGCAATGTTAAGCCAACAGAATTGAATAACAATCATCATGTGGTTCCTATTGGCATAATTATAGTGCTTTGCACGGTTTACCTGATGATTGCGGGAGTACAAAACAACTACAATTATTACCTAAAACCAGGAGTCGCTGCCCTAAAGCTAAATCGACAAAATGCCAACGACCAACTGCAACATTTACTCGCAAACGAAAAAGAGGAGCAGCCTGTATGCAGAGAGGTTGAAGTCTTCAATAAAGAGGAGTTTACCTTAAAGGAAGTCAAGGAGTCCAAAGGGCAGCAGTTAGTAAATATCAAAAGAAACAAACAGCAAATCAAATCGATTAAATCATCTGGCAGACAATCAAAGTCCGAGTTGCAAAGAAAAAAGGATAAGAAACCAAATACAGCTGAGCCCATAATTTATCTATTCGCCTTGGTATTCATATATCTACTGCTAAAAGCGGCATCCGACATAAATCAGCATTATAAAACGGTAATGGCCCAGCAACACCAATCTAAAATAGTTTCATATTAATATATATTTTGCCTACAGCAGAGCAAAGGCGATAAACGACTTCGTCGCTGTTCCCTTCAATCCTACGCGCAGAAGGAGCAAAGGCACAATCATCAAGATCGTCGCGCTTCAAAAGGTATTTCAACAAAAAGTTTGCCAAAATTTTAAAGAGGATCTACATATAAATATGTATTTATTATATAACTAGGGAACAAATCAAATCAAAACAGAACACAAAATAGTTTTTATTGTAATAAATGTTGTGAACTATCGATGTAAAACATATCCTGTCTTAAAATCTATATACCTTTACACTTGAACTTTACTGCAATTTCTATATGTATGTGTACTACCTATAAATATATAGATGTATAATTTTAAGTGTTAATGACTTTGTATGTTTATGTGCCTATATATATGTATATATATATATCCTATATACTGTGTGAAATAAAACTCTTTTCCGCACTCCTGTGATGATTTTACAAAGTATTATCTAGCCACAACATTTGTGTTTTATTTATCCTATTTTCGAATTCTACTCTTTCAATTATCGAAATCTGATTTACATACATATTTACATACACTATATATACTTATATACTCTTTTTTTGCAAGATGTTCTTCCATTGCAAACGAGACAAAACATATTTGTAGACGGACGTTCCATATCGCTGGATCGTTATAAGGCCAAAGAGCAGCCAGCCAGGGAACTGGTGAAGAGAACCTTTCCAAACAAACCCATCCATCCAGCCATAGGCAAACATCTTCCCGGCGATGTCCATTTGGGTAATGGATCGACTCCATTCTGTACGCCCAGCTAAGTTTCTCTTTTCCCCAATCCCACTCTAGAGCCGCGTATGAGTCGTCGCCTCTCGGTGCCCGTCAGCATTAACTATCAAATGGTGCAGGTATCGCCGCTGGTGAATCCCGAACTGGTCAGACGCGGCTCCATAGCCGAGATGATTGTGCCCGCGACAGCTCCAAGTGTCCAGACACCCGACTCGAAGCGGCGGGTGCGCATGATAAACCGCCACTAAAATAATGTTACTATGCTAAATATAAGCGAGGGTAGTTTGAAAAGTTTGTCAGTTTAACTTGAAGTTAAGACAAATAGATCTCTGGCATAATTTAAATAGCACTTTTACATTTTCCAGACTACCTTCTTTTTACAAATTTAAAAGATGAATCGAAATATTCAACGAATTTATGAATTACTTCAGAAATACTTGCGGCCCACCCAAATGATTTAAACAGCTCTAGCTGTAGAATAATCATATATACATATACATATTTTTAGCAACATAATGCCAAATTTAAATAACTAAACCATTAAATAGTTGATTGCCAAATCCATATCCCAATAACTTTTTGAAATATTTTAAACTTAAACGAATTTAGGCAATATTTAAGTACACCCCATTATAGCTCACTTGCTCCATCTTATAGATGATTAAGAAATATATATAGAAAAGTATTTAAGTTTCTGGTTTTCCAATCAAACCACTCGAAACTATTTTTAATCAATAAATAAATTTAATGAATAATATTTAACTGAAGTTTCAGCTGAAACAAAATTTTTAATTGAGTCTATATTCGAGTTTGCATTCTAAATGTTTGAAATTTGATATATGTATATATATATATAAATATATTTTATTGAATTTATATATAAATAAAAAATACGAAAGTTCCAGATTCAAAGGTCAAACATCATTAAATCTAAAAATTTGTATAAATATATATTCCAGTCTCTGATTCCTTGAAATCTATTTTCAAAGTCAAATAAATGCGATTCTATTTGTCAGTTTTTTGTTTTTGCTTTTAATCAATAAGTGTAGTATTATTAAGGCATTTTGAAACATAGAAATTAGATTATAACTACGCCCATGCAATTATTAAGATATACAAATATACACACATTTAATCAATTGCACAGATGAGCCGTATTACCAGAACATATAGACCTATATATGCTATATATATATATATATATATATATATGTATATGCTAATAAACTACTTAAGGGCAAGATTTAAAACAATCTTAGGCTAACATTTTTGTGTTTTGTTTTTTTCTCCTCGTTTTTCGGTCTTTTGGAATCAAATATGAAATTATTCAAAACCAATTGATGTACATACATATATATTTATATAAATATATAAAGTATTCTATATTTTATTAACTTAGATTGAGATGGGAAACATTAAGAAAGTCTATGCATTGTTTTAGAGTACGAGTAAAAGAAGAGCATAAAGTTGAACTTAGATTAAGAATTATGTGACAAATCTACAAAAACTTTCTGGAATTTTGTGCTAGTTTGTTGTTGTTTCTTCTTCTTCATCTTCTTTTCCGTCATCTTCAGCTATTCATTTAAATACAAAATAATAAATTACGTATTTTAATTGCAATTGTGGAAGTGTGATTAAGGATTAATCTTTAACTAAGCTCATTGCCTTCGTAGAGGCTTTCGCAGCTCTCTAGCAAACGAAGCACGGGCGATATATCATAGGGATATAGTTGTCGAGAGACGAGCCGAGATATTTGCAGACGCAAGCGGATGAGCACGCCCATCGCCTCGTCCAGCATGGCATTGCCCATGCCAAAGCTATGGCAGCTATGCACAAACATCGTCCAGTTCATCCGTATGTATTTCAGAAATCGCAGCAAATACAGCAGAAAGCACGTCTCATTGCTGACAAGCAGATCCAGCAACAGATCGGAGCTATTCGATGCCATTTTGAGAAACTCCAGGAATGTATATACAGGGTTCAGCATGGCGACCAGCTCGGGGAATGCATTGTTTCGAAACGAGATGCCCGACGTGACGTCCAGGGTGCAGACCATTGCCTCTATCAAGTGATCATCCTGATCATCAAAGAGATGTATCAGAATCTTACTGAAATGGCATTCCGGATGGAACTCGAGTGTCTGCTTGATGAACGTTTCCAGTTTGCTCAGGACATCTCTTATCGATCGCTCGATCAGCTGTATATCCTGAAAGGCATCGTAGTCGGTTGAGTCTATCGATGAGTCCGATGAATCGCTGCGTATTTCCTTTACAGTAACCGCTATCGATTTCAGCACCAGTAGCACCATCTTCTGCAGCAAAGTCTTATCCATTTCGATGAGGCCAGCGCCACCAGCTGCTGCTGCCGCCTCTGTCTCCTCGTGTGCCGGCAGAGAGTTGTGAACGATCAGCGTGCCAGGCACATAATTGACAGGAGCACCATTGTAACCAATCAGTCCGACAATATTCTCTGGCTGGCGCCGTGGCAAGGATTCGAGTATGCGCAAGCTGCGCACATGGCAGACAATCTGATGGGCCAGCCTGCATGTCTCCTCCGGCAGCATGTCCTGCAGCGCCAGCGTGGAGCCATAGCAAAGCGCCTCATTGAAGAGGCACAGCATCTGCTTGTAGACCGTGCACGACAGATTGTGATTGAGCAGCAGCTCAAACTTGTCCAGCTGCGCGTAGAACGGACGCGTCTCGTCTATCGAGAGATTCGCCTTGACGGAAATGATGTTTTCCCACAGCTGCAGAAAGTTGAGCACACAGTGCTCGGCGCTATCCTGATGCACTGGAGCCATCAGCTCCGACATGTGCTTCACTAGCGTTGGCCATTTGTGCTCCAGCTTCTGTATGGTTACACATTTCAGATGCGTTGTATCGAAGCTCTCCGAGTCGGTTAGGGCAACGACATGGCAACCATTGGCTGGTATATAGTTAGCGGGTGAATTACTACTATTATTTGTTGATGTTGTTGTTGTTGTACTCTGGCTATTCTCGTAATGGTCCACATCAGCCTCGACTGCATCACGGAACTGTAACGCAAAATAGTTATTCGCCAGTGGCTGATCCTGCACCGGGAAATGCATATAACTAATGGACGCATCTGCTGCTGTGCTGGCTGCCGTGCTGCTCGTCGTATATTCATCGTCGAGCGGATGCAGCTCCACATCCTTCCACTCCACAATTCGTTTGATTATATCTAAGCTAAAGTGTATCTTCTGCACGGCTGTCTGATCTAACAGATCGTAGTTGAACAATTGATCGACAATCTTTTGCAGCCACTCGTCGTTCAGCTCCTGCTTGGCAATAACCAAAAAGGCCGCCAGTACACGCGCTGCCAAGAATTGCACAT